TGATGCTTTTGAACTGTGGTGTTGGAGAAGACTCTTGAGAGTCCCTTGGACTGCAAGGAGATCCAACCAGTCCATCCTAAAGGAAATCAGTCCTGGGTGTTCATTGGAAGTACTGATGTTGAGGCTGAAACTCCAATAGTTTGGCCACCTGATGCAAAGAGATGACTCATTTGAAAAGACCCTGATGTTGGGAAAGACTGAAGGCAGGAGAAGGGGACAACAGAGGATGAGATGGTTAGATGGCATCACCAACTCGATGGACATGAGTTTGGGTAAACTCCAGGAGTTGATGATGGACAAGGAGGCTTGGCATGCTGCAGTTCATGGGGTCACAAAGAGTTGGACACAACTGAGCGACTGAACTGAACTAGCAAAATAAACTATATGAAGTTTAAAATCAGCTAATAAACAGATTTACTTGTTATTAATTTTAATTAAAGATACATACCACTATACTGATGGCAAGTTTGTCTATTAAACTCAGAGACCCAAAGGACATGAGCAAGTCTCATTTCCAAATTCTCATGCCTGGGATTAGGGACTCAAACCCATGTCAGGATTCTCTCATTTTGGTTCAGATTTCTCACAGTCTTGGGTCTAACACCCTAAGGTAGGCCAGCTAAACCTACATATCTCCTTGGGGCCCAAGAGGGAGAATGTTAGTAGACTGGATGTAGGCCTGGTGCTGAGCCAGAGGACCACAGGAGGGCACCATGGACAGAATCTTCCCAGCACTTTCAAGATGGGTCTTGAAAGATCATTAGAGAAGTGGGTACACAGACACTGGTAACAACCTATAGGCTCTCAGTACTTCGGCTACACTGTCATCCAGAAAGGGGTTCAAGAACAAAAATGAACACAGAAACGTATGGCAAACATTTTTCACAAGGCTTCCATGTAACTAAATTACTGCTATTTCACTTAAAATACAGGCATTTATATTACTTCCATCCAAAAATCCCAAAAGCATGGTATAATTTGACTGCTCTATGAACCCAAGACAAAAGGCAGAACTCCTACCAAGGCATCTACAACCTAAGTCCTAAAACCTATGTTTAGAGGATACAAAGCACAATGTTGTTTTAGGACTCTTCGGAACTGAAGCAAAGAACTCAATGAATTACTTTATGACCTCTTATTATTTAGTAGGAGCATATTTGGTCATCAAGATAAAAAAAGACTCCTATTCATGAGCTCTCAAAAGAATATGTCACAGAGATCCACTGGGCTCATAAAATTAAAATACTTAAATTTGGGGGATATGCACCAAACCAAAGGAATTCACTCCTGTGACCACTATACAGCTGGGCCTCTATGCCAAAATTTGAAGCTATTAACAGTTGACGTGAGTTTACTTTTCTTCCAGGCAGCTCTCAACTGTAACAGGAGTATCCTAAACTTCAAGAGTAATTCATAAGTTGCTTTTCCATTAGAGGGGAAAAAAACTATCCTGTAGTTGGCTGGGGTTTTTCTCCTTTCTATTAGCAGAAAACAGACAAATTCCTACCAGTTCACAAGGTCACTTCACTCTGAAAAGATTCTCTGCTGCTCAAAAAGTACCAATCAAGGCACCCTGAAAAGAACTAAAGAATCAAGAGCTTCCCAAAGACATGATCAAAGATCTACTCACCACAATGATATCAGGATCAACTTTGTGAACTTTTGCAAGGACAAAACCTAGCAGTGTTCTTTCCGTGGCAGCAACCTCAACCTTCACATTCTGTTAGAGAAAAACATACCAGTCACTTATCTCTATACTCAAGTACTATTCCCTGGCTTTCTGCTTAAGCACAGTAAGATTGCTTAGGGTTTAAAAAAAAAACATGCATTTCAAAACAAAACGCAGCAATGAAATTCCTGATTCTAGATTTCACAGTAATACTTGCACAAAAATCTCTGAGGAGCTCATTCTGGTAATAAGCATGTGAATGTAGCAAGATTTTAAGTACTGAGCACTATCAAGTGCAGAAATGTCCCTCCACAGGGACATTCTTGTGCATCTGGACACGTTTTATAGCATAAGAATCAGAGAACCTATCAAAAACATTATTTACTTTCCTATATAATTCCTGGTAGACTTTGCTGTTTATGTATTTACTACATAAAGAGATCCCAAGGACTATAGAAACTAATCCCAAACAGTGGTATAAAAACCCATAAATAAGACACTAGACTAAAAACAAACATACATGTAAGAACTATAAGCATCTTATGAATAAATAAAACCTAGCTACACACAAAAGGTTTCCACAACTCAACAGAAACCAGGTATTCAAAAGATGCACTTTATTAAGAATCTTAAAATTAAGTTGATGGCAATGTTTTCTACCACTAGCTCAGCTACAAAATGTCAGTTTGACTCTAATGGAATTTTCCTAGATCATTTTACTTACTAATTCAGGGCACTCCATAAATAACAGCCTGATCCAATAGTACCCCCAGACTACTGGACTTCTCAAACCAATTTAAAGTAAGTGGAACCCAGTAAGGTTGCTATTAATTTTGTCAAGTGAAGACATTAAAAAAACAAAAATAACCGACAAATTTACCAACACAGGCATTTCATAAAGGAAAAAACATACTCTCCAAAAAAGAAATTTTTTATATTGAATACATTTACTTTTATGAAGTCTGTCAGACTTTATTTGGGGGGGCTCCAAAATCACTGCAGATGGTGACTACAGCCATGAAATTAAAAGACACTTGCTCCTTGGAAGAAAAGTTATGACCAACCTAGACAGCATATTAAAAAGCAGAGACATTACTTTGCCAACAAAGGTCCATCTAGTCAAAGCTATGGTTTTTCTAGTAGTCATGGATGGATGTGAGAGTTGGACTATAAAGAAAGCTGAGCACCGAAGAATTGATGCTTTTGAACTATGGTGTTGGAGGAGACTCTTGAGAGTCCGTTGGACTGCAAGGAGATCCAACCAGTCCATCCTAAAGGAAATCAGACCTAAAGATTCATTGGAAGGACTGACACTGAAGCTGAAATTCCAATACTTTAGCCACCTGATGTAAAGAACTGACTCATTGGAAAAGACCCTGATGCTGGCAAAGATTGAAGACAGGAGAAGAAGGGGATGACAGAGGATGAGATGGTTGGATGACATCACCAACTCAATGGACATGAGTTTGAGTGAACTCCAGGAGTTGGTGATGGGCAGGGAGACCTGGCGTGCTGCAGTCCATGAGGTTACAAAGAGTCGGACACGACTGAGCGACTGAACTGAACTTTTATGAAAACTCACATTATACTACTCCTCCCCCCATTTTATTAAGGATCCATGAAAACTTCATGAAGTATACTGGGAGCTTAGAGATCACTAATCAAATATAGCCATCCCACACCAACCTTCCCAATAAATGTCACCTTTAATATCCACAGCACCCTCAACTTCTCTTGACTTCCTTCAAGCTAGTGAGGTGAGGGTGAGAGGGTAGGGCAGGCTTTAGCCAATATTTAGCTAAAACAGTAATCAAGTCATCATGCAATTTTGGAAAAGTTTCCAATTAAGCTATCTGAAGGGGGGGGTTGAGACCCTCATCTATTAATAAGGTGTCAAATCCTATTATTTCCAGGAGGTGAAACATTTAAACACTGTTAAACATTTTTAGTTTTAAACTTCTAATATTGTTTTAATGGGTTAATGCCATAGTCCCAATCTAACAAGAATAGGTCTAACAAATTAACATAGAAAACAGCTTATTTCTACTAATCCACAGCATTCTCCTTTTCTCTTTTTAAACAAATAGATATTTCATGTTTAAAAGGAATAAATAATGAGTTATTTACCTTTTCCTTAATGCTTTCTTTGAAATCATATGGAAAAATGCAGTCCTTTGGTTTAGACACAACTGTAAAAAGGAAAAAAATAAAGATTCTAACACCCGTCTTCATCCAATTTCAAGTACACATACACTGAATGTCTCTGAACGGAAACTGTCTTAATATAAATTCTCCTTAATGTCTAAAGAATCACCAAAACAAACTATCCTAAAACTCATATGGAACCACAAAATACCTTGAATAGCCAAAGCAAACTTGAGAAAGAACAAAGCAGGAGGCACCACATACCTTGATTTCAAACTATATTACAAAGCTACAGTAATGAAAACAGTATGGTATTGGCATAAAAACAGACATATAGAACAATGGAACAGAACAGAGTGCCCAGAAATAAACTTAACATAGTGTATAACATAGTCAATTAATTTATGACAAAGGAGCCAAGACTATACAATAGAGAAAGGACAATCTCTTCAAAAAAGTACGTTGGAGGGGGGAGGAGCCAAGATGGCGGAGGAATAGGACGGGGAGACCACTTTCTCCCCTACAAATTCATCGAAAGAACATTTGAACGCTGAGCAAATTTCACAAAACAAGTTCTGATCACTAGCAGAGGACCTCAGGCGCCCAGAAAAGCAGCCCATTGTCTTCAAAGGGAGGTAGGACAAAATATAAAAGATAAAAAGGGAGACAAAATAGCTACGGACGGTGACCCGTCCCGGGAAGGGAGTCTTAATAGAGGAAGTTTCCAATCACCAGGAAACCCTCGCACTGGCGGGACTGGGGGAAGT